CCTGAGCTGAAGGCAGATGCTCAACCGACTGAGCCACCCAGGCATCCCTGTTTGGATTATTTTACTTAGCATCATATTTCTGAGGTTCATCTTTCTGCAATCAGTACTTCATTCCTTTTTATGGCTGAATAATACTCCATATTATGAATATATCATGTTTTGCTTATCCATCTGCCAGTTGATTGACATTTGGATCATTCCCACTTTTGGCTATTATGAATAATGCTGCTATAAATATTCATATACAAGTTTGTGGACCCTTGTTTTCATTTCTCCTGGATATATACCTAGGAGTAGACTTGCTGGGTCATTTGGTAACTCTATGTTCAGTCTTCTGAGGAACTGCCACACTGTTTCCTAAAATGGCCACACCATTTTGCATACCCACCAGCCATGTGTGGAAGGTTCCAATTTCTCCACATCCTCACCAACACATTATTTCTGGCTTTTGATTCTTTTTTTTTTTTTAAGATTTTATTTATCTGAGAGAGAGAATAGGAAACAGCATGAGAGGGGGAGGATCAGAGGGAGAAGCAGACTCCCCACTGAGCAGGGAGCCCGATGTGGGACTCGATCCCAGGACTCCAGGATCTTGACCTGAGCCGAAGGCAGTTGCTTAACCAACTGAGCCACCCAGGCGCCCTCTGGCTTTTAATTCTAACCATCCTCATGGGTATGAAGTGGTATCTCATTGTGGTTTTGATTTGTGTTTCCCTGATGACATAATGTTGAGCATCTTCTCATGTGCTCATTGGCCATTTGAATATTATCTTTGGAGAAATGCCTATTCGGATTTTTGCCCATTTTAATTGGGTTGTCCTATTTGTTGCTGGATTCAGTTTGCTGATATTTTGAGGATTTTTACATCTATATTCTAGTTTTCTTGTGATGTCTTTGTCTGATTTTGGTATCAGGGTAATACTGGCCTCGTAGAATAAGTTTGGAATTCTTCTATTTTTTGGAAAAGCCTGTGCAGAATTAGTATTAATTCTCCTTTAAATTTTTGATAGAAGGGGCACCTGGCTGGCTCAGTTGGTAGAACAGGTGACTCTTGATCTTGGGGTTGTAAGTTCGAGTCCCACATTGGATGTGGAGATTACTTAAAAATAAAATTTTAGGGGTGCCTGCGTGGCTCAGTCGTTAAGCATCTGCCTTCGGCTCAGGTCATGATCCCTGGGTCCTGGGATCAAGCCCTGCATCAGGCTCGCTTCTCCACAGGAAGCCTGGTTCCCCCTCTCCCACTCCCCCTGCTTGTGTTCCCTCTCTCACTGTCTCTGTCAAATAAATAAATAAAATCTTTAAAAAAATAAAATAAAATTGTAGGGATGCCTGGGTGGCTCAGTCGGTTAAGTGTCTGCCTTCGGCTCAGGTCATGATCCCAGAGTCCTGGGATCGAGTCCTACATCAGACTCCTTGCTCCGCAGGGAGCCTGCTTCTCCCTCTGCTTATTCTCTCTCTCTCTCTCTCTCTCATGTGCTCTCTCTCTCTCTGGCAAATAAATAAAATCTTTCTAAAAATAAAATTAAAATTAAAATTAAAATAAATAAATGTCTGATAGAAGGCATTGGTGAAGCCATCTGTGCCTGGGCCTCTCTTTGTGGTATTTTATTATTATTATTATTATTATTATTATTATTATTATTATTATTATTACTACTATTTCAATGTCTTCACTTGTCTTAGGTCTATTCAGATTTTCTATTTCTTCTTGAATCAGTTTTGGTAGTTTATGTCTTTCTAGGAATTTGTCCATTTCATCCAGCTTAACTAATTTGTTGGCCTACTGTTGTTCATAGCATTCCTTCATAAATCCTTTTATTTCTGTAGGGTCAATAGTAATGTTCCCTCCTGTATTTCTGATTCTTCTCTTTATTTCTTGGTCAGTCTCACTAAAGATCCGCTAACTTGGTTGATGTTTTCAAAGAACCAGCTTGTAGCTTCATTGATTTCCTGTCTTATTTTTCTGTTCTCTATTTCATTAGTTTCCATTTTACTCTTTATTGCTCTAGTTTTTCTGCTTGCTTCAGGTTTAGTTTGCTCTGCTTTTTCCCAGTATCTTAAGGTTAGCTTTAGCTGCATCCTATAAGTTCTGGTGTGTTATGTTTTCATTTTAATTCATCTCAAAGTAGTTTGTTGTTTTTTTTTAAATTTCCTTGGTGATCTCTTCTTTGACCCATTGGTTATTCAGGAGAGTGTTGTTTAATTTCAATTTCTTTGTCAGTTTCCAATAGTTTCCTCTGTTATTGATTTTTTCTTTATTTTTTTAAGATTTTATTTATTTATTTGACAGAGAGAGAGCTAGCAAGAGCAGGAACACAAGCAGGGGTAGTGGGAGAGGGCGAAGCAGGCTTCCTGCCGAGCAGGGAACCTGACATAGGACTCGATCCCAGGACCCTGGGACCATGACCTGAGCCAAAGGCAGACGCCTAACGACTGAGCCACCCAGGAGCCCTGATTTTTTCTTTAAATCCACTGTGGTCAGAGTACACATTTTGTGTGATTTCAGTCCTTTTAAAACATATTGGACTTGTTTTAATGACTAGCATACCATCTGTCCTATAGAATGTTCTGTATGTGCTTGATAAGAATGTGTATTCTGACATTGTTGAATGGAGTGTTCTGTAGGTGTCTGTTATGTCTAGTTGGTTTATAGTGTTGTGCAAATCTAGGGGTGCCTGGGTGGCTCAGCTGGTTAAGTATCTGACTTTGGCTCTGGTCATGATCTTGGGGTCCTGGGATTGGGCCCTAGATTGGGCTCCCTGATCAGCAGGGAGTCTGCTTCTGCTTCTCCCTCTGCCCCTCCCCCTGCTCATGCTTGCTCTTTCTCTCAAATAAATAAAATCTAAAAAAAAAAAAAATGTGCAAATCTATTTTCTTGCTGATATTCTATCTAGTTGTTTTATTCATTATTGAAAATGGGGTATTGAAGTCTCCAACTATTCTTTTGAATTGCCTATTTCTTCTTTCAGTTATGTCCATTTTTGCTTCATATATTTTGGGGCTACGTTGTTAGGTGCATTATGTTTATAATTATTATATCTTTCTGAAGGATTGACCATCTTATCATTATAAATGTTCCCCTGTGTCTCTAGCAACAATTTTTGTCTTAGAGTCTATTTTATCCAATATTAGTAGTATAGCCATTCCAGTTCACTTTTTTTTTTTAATTTTATTTATTTGAGAGAGAGAGTGTGACTGAGAGAGAGAGCATAAGCAGGGGCAGTGGGAGAGAGAGAGAAGCAGACTCCTCGCTGAGCAGGGAGCCCCACATGGGGCCCGCCCCAGGACCCCAAGATCATGACCTGAGCCAGAGGCAGACGCTTAACCCACTGAGCCACCCAGGCACCCCTCCAGTTCCCTTCTGATTACTGCTTGCATGGTATATCTTTTACTATCTTTTTGTTTTTCACCTATTTGTATCTTAGACTATACATTGTGTCTCTTGTAGACAGCATGAGGTTGGATCATGTTTTCTTATCCATTTTGCCAATGTCTGCCTTTTAACTGAAAGTTTAATCCATTTACATGTAATGTAATTACTGATAGGAAGAACTTTTGCCATTTTGCGGTTTGTTGTTTTTGTTAGTTGAATGCCTAACTATGCACTGGACCCTTCATATACATCATCATATTTTTTTTTCATCATCACATTTTTAAAAGATTTTATTTATTTATTTGAGAGAGAGAGCACAAGCAGTGGGGAGCAGCAGGCACAGGGAGAAGCAGGCTTCCTGCTGAGCAAGGAGCCCAATGTGGGATTCGATCCCAACACTCTGGGATCATGACCCAAGTCGAAAGCAGGTGCTTAACCGACTGAGCCACCCAGGCGTCCCTCATCATTACATTTTTTATACTCATTTTATGATTACAGAATCTAAAACCTAGGAAGATGCAATTACAATCCCAGTCAGTGGTGGAGCTGAGCTATGAGCCATCAGCTCATTAGCTCTTGTCTGGAGGTTTCCTCACTGGTCCTCTGGCCTCCATCCTCCCCCTCCCAGGGCCAATCTACACATGCAGCCAGAGGGACCCTTTAAAAATGTAACTCTGGGGCGCCTGGATGGCTCAGTTGGTTAAGCGACTGCCTTCGGCTCAGGTCATGATCCTGGAGTCCTGGGATCGAGTCCCACATTGGGCTCCCTGCTCGGCAGGGGGTCTGCTTCTCCCTTTGACCCTCCTCCCTCTCATGCTCTCTGTCTCTCATTCTCTCTCTCTCAAATAAATAAATAAAATCTTTAAAAAAAAAAAATGTAACTCTGGGGCACCTGGGTGGCTCAGTTGGTTAAGCGACTGCCTTCGGCTCAGGTCATGATCCTGGAGTCCCAGGATCGAGTCCCGCATTGGGCTCCCTGCTCAGCAGGGAGTCTGCTTCTCCCTCTGACCCTCCTCCCTCTCATGCTCTCTGTCTCTCATTCTCTCTCTCTCTCATATAAATAAATAAAATCTTTAAAAAAATAAAAAAATAAATAAAAATGTAACTCTGGAGGTGCCTGGGTGGCTCAGTCAGTTAAACGTCTGCCTTTGGCTCGGGTCACGATCCCAGAGTCCCAGGATCAAGCCCCATGTCAGGTTTTCTGCTCCGCAGGGAGTCTGCTTCTCCCTCTCCCTCTGATCCTTGCTCCTCTCGTGCTCTCTCTCTCTCTAATAAATAAAATCTTTAAAAAATATATAAGTAAATAAATAAAAATGTAACTCTGATCATAACTGCCTTGCTGATGTTCCAGTTACTCCCACTGAAAGTCCTGACATGTTTCATAATGAGACGCCTGGTTAATGAATGCATTCAAATGCAGAGTTGTCTCCTTCCCACCCAGGCCACCTGAGATCTCAGCATTGACTTTGGTGTCATTTGCTGGCCTCTGAGCATGTTCCAGCCCAGGCCTTGGTAGAGCTAAGAGGACTTCTTGGATCATGGCCAACAACAGAGAGTTTCTGCATTTTATATGCCTTTTCCCCCAACCACACCAAACTTTACATTTTCCCCTCTTCTTCCCCTTTAGTCCATGAAGACTCTGCAGGATTTGCTTACTGACATTTATGCACTCAGGAACACCATTGAAACTCTCAGAAAGGATGTGGACAGACTGAAGGACATAGTTGACAAGGTAGACCCTCTCCAGCATCTTCTGGGCTGGCCATGCTACTTGGACCTCAGGTGGTTGGGGTGACAGGGTACATCTAAGCAGCCTATTCTTAGTCAAAGAACACAGCTATGAGAGCAGGAGAAGGGGTTAGACATTGCCCAGCCACTTGGCCCATCCCACTAAACTCTCCATGGCTCCCACACTTCTGGGTTATGACATCATTTGTAGGTAACAGAAACCTACTTCATCATGGCTTAGGCAAAAGAAGAGAATTTAATGTCTCATTTACTAAAAAGTCCACAGTTGCCTTCAGGTACAACCAGATCTAAGTGCTCACACTCCATCAACATCTCTCTGTCAGTGATGTTTTTCTGTGGGTTGGCTTCATTCTCAGGCAGGTACTCCCTAAGACTCCAGGCTTGCATACCAACAACTTAGCAGAAAGAGAACACCTTTTCCTATTCTGTAAAGCTCTGTCCACACTGAAATGTGGAATAAACCTAGCACAGGCACACAGGCTCTCGCCCTTGAGAGTCACAAGGACATCAACCCAGGTACATACTCACTCCTTACCATGATGTGTAAGGACACAGAATCCCTGAAGCCTGAGGTCACAGCTGGTGAGTCAGAGCTGAGCTCAGAGGCCAGGCCTCCACACCGGCAGGCTGGTATTGTGGCTGAGGTTTTACAACTTGTCCCCGGATAGCATGGTTTGGTGTATTATCCCCAATTCACAGGTCAGTGTACACATTTGATTGTCATGGCAACTGTGAGAACTTGGTCTGGGTAGCTCCCATCTGAGAAGAAAGGGCATCACAAAACACTACAAAGAAAAAAAAAAAAACACTAAAAAGATTCCTTCAACAAATCTGTTGGAGAAAACAGTGCCTCCTCAGCCTACCTCTTGGAGATTCTTAATATACTTTTTTTTTTGCCCACTAAAGGCTCTGAGAAGTCCTGCACTGTAGAAGCCCATTGAATACTTTTTTTTTTTTTAAAGATTTTATTTATTTATTTGAGAGAGAGAGAATGAGAGAGAGCACATGAGAGGGGGGAGGGTCAGAGGGAGAAGCAGACTCCCCGCCGAGCAGGGAGCCCGATGCGGGACTCGATCCAGGGACTCCAGGATCATGACCTGAGCCGAAGGCAATCGCTTAACCAACTGAGCCACCCAGGCGCCCCATTGAATACTTTTTAAGCCCAGCATTTTCCAAACTTATTTTCCCAGGAAACCGTCTTCCACCCCTTTCCCACTCCCTGGGAAACACTTGCTTTAGAATCTGTTCTTCCTTCTCCAATTCAGTCACTTAGAGCTGAGTCCTTGTCTTTGAGCTGTGGGGCAAGCAGGGCCAGGACCAGAACCTGCACCCCTGGCCCATGGACTCGGCTTATTTGACAGATGCAGCCAGAAAGAATGGATACTTTGTTCGAAGATCTGAAAGGACAGAGCAGGATGATGAGTGCACTGCAGCGGGAAGTGGTAAGAGCTTCCGCTTCCCTTCCCACTCCCCTGACCTCCAGGCGGGGGTGCTGCGGGCAGGGAAGAGTAAGGAAGACAACACAATCTAGAAAGGCAAGTGTGGACAAAGGAGCCACCGAGGGCATCACCCCTCATTCTCAACCTCCTCTCCTGCCCCCCAGGTTACTCTCCAGAGCAAAATCCTCACCATCCCCAAAGCTGAGGACGTGGTGCTCTGGAGCAGCCTCCACGAGGCCATGTTCAACCCCGTGAGTGAAGGAGGAAAAGGAGGGGCAGCAGCGGAGGGTCGGGGAAGGCAGGGTGACCGCTGAGCTGGCCTGGAGCAGCCCTGGGCAGCCTCGCCCCTTTTCTGCAGGGAACTTCTGCAAGAGGAGCTGGTCCAACACAGATTGAGGATTCGGACCTGTGGCAGTTGGTGGAGCAGCTCCCAGATACTGGTCTTCCTCAGACCACCGAGTACCGTGAAGCTGTTGGTCGTGTCCAGATCTCAGAGGCCATCCAGAGCCCCAGGTTACTGGAGACTATCTGGCATTACGAGACCCCCAGGCAGCTACAGGAGGAGGAATATGACCAAGCTGTTCTACTCACTGGGGCCCAGGGGCCAGGGCAGGCTCCGGGGCTTGAGCCCGGGTCTATGCCCACACCGGGGCCACAGCCCGAGGCCATACCTGCTCCGGGGCCTGTGCCGGGGCCCAGTCTGACACCGGGGTTCACACTACCACCTTGGCCTCCATTCATACCTGGGCCTGGCCCTGGACCTTGGCCTGCCCTTGGACCTGGGACTGCCCCCGGGCGTGCACCTGCCCCAGGGCTTCAGCCTATGCCGGGAGAACGCTGGCCTTCCCCCAGAGGCTTGTCCAGGGCTAGCACGTGGCCCTTCTGGGGCTCAGGCTTCTTGGAGCCTGCACAGTCCCAGGACTTCAGGTCCCCACTGCCAGCCAGGGAGTTTAGCTCAGTGTGGCCCCGTCTGCTGCAGTCACAGTCTGGCCAGGCAAAGGTGCACCTGCTCCCAGCTGTCTCAGAAATTGAGGAAGACTATGTATCCCAGGACGTGCCAGCCCCTCAGGACAGGGCCCCCAGGGCTGGGGTCCCCAAAGAAGCACCCGCTAAGACTCCCCAGTCTGCCCTTCAGCGCCTGAAGACCACTGCGGCCATCGCGGCCGCCGCCGCGGCCTCCTACACAACGGCTGCCACCTCAGCGGCCCGGAGAGCCGAGGTTGTCGCCAAGGCTGTCAGGGACGCCCCTGCCACCAAGTTGGCCACCACAGCAACATCCGTGGCTGCATCCGGGCCCTTAGGGGCATTCGCAGACAGCCTGGGTGCGGGCTCTTCCCGCGGGGCCTTGGCTTTCACTGAGGACACAGAGGTGGAGGACTTGAAGGTGTTGGGTGAGGACCTCTCTCCGCTGTACCCTGTTACCAGCCTCCCTCCTGAAAGGACCCTGTCCCAGGTCATGCTGGCCGCCCAAAAGGCTGTGACCCCTGAAGACAAGAAGACGGCCGTCAGGTACTCCATGGGCCGCATAGCCCAGATGCCCATTAGACACGACTCCCTGAAAGAAGAGTTTGCCCAGCTGTCATCCACCCTTCAACAGCGCTTGAATTACCTAGGTAGGCCTGGCCTGGTTCAGGCCCTCCCTCCCTGCAGCCTTCGAGAAGTCCCTCGTCTCCTTCATTGAGCTCCCCCAACAAAAGCTGTATTAACCATTAGCCGTTCATTCCTTTGGCTTCAGCATCTGCCTCTTACTAGTCTGTTCTTTCACCACGAATGTACCGTGAGGTCTTCTCATAGGGGAGAGGGGTGGTTAGGGTCTAACGCTGGCCCTGAAGAAGGAAAATCGCATGTCACAATGACTCTGGAAAACTCCCCTTCCACAGTCCATACAACACAGCCCTACTGTACAATGTTTCAATAAGTCTGGATCCCACCAGAATGACCCACTGAACAGACCCCAGATGATGTGGTCCGTGTGGGGTTAGGAGCTACTGCCGGGCAAACATACGTATCCTTAAAGACCACAGAAGCTTTCTGGGTGGCAGCCGAAACGATAGATTTATGCTCCGATTTTATGCCTTTGACGGGCAAAATGCTCGCTGAGGGGAGTGGAGGGCAGAATAGCCTAGTTGAGTAGTTTTCAACCTTGTGCTCCCCTCAGCATCCCCAGGGGGCTGCGCCCCACCCCTGGAGCTTCTGATGTGGTTGGTTTGGGCAGAGCCCAAGAATTTGCATGTCTCAGTCATTCCAGCAGCTGATTCTGCTGCTGGCCGAGGGGACCCACTGTGAGGCCCATTGCCCTACGTTGTTTGAATCGTTATCTTGCTTTTTTTTTTTTTTTTTTTTAAGATTTTATTTATTTATTTGACAGAGAGAGACACAGCGAGAGAGGGAACACAAGCAGGGGGAGTGGGAGAGGGAGAAGCAGGCTTCCCGCTGAGCAGGGAGCCTGATGCGGGGCTCTATCCCAGGACCCTGGGATCATGACCTGAGCCGAAGGCAGACGCTTAACAACTGAGCCACCCAGGCCCCTCATTGCTTTTTTTTTTTTGCTCCCTGCCAAGCGCAGTAGTTGAATTACGTCAAGTCTATAGGTGGCGTTACCCTTAATTGGCAGTGCTGTTCTACAAATCTTGGAAAGAAGACGTGGAACTTCAGCCAGCTAAATAAACTAGGCTGCTCTCAGTGAATACGGGTGTGCAGCTGAGAATACGATAGTAATAGATTTAAATTTAAAAGGTAAAGCCATAATAGCCCAAATTCTACTTCTGACCAGCTGCCACTTTTGTTAAGAAAACTCAAGATAGTTTGTAAACCTATCTTGGCTCAGATTTCTCCTCCCTTCCTAGGTGTGTCCTGTATGTTAGTTTTTAACCTCTTGTCGGGAACTTGATATAGGGTACTTTTTTTTACCCCCTCCTTCTTTGTTAAATCCCCCTTTCTATCTTGTGGTGAGATAATGCACTTCATATACTCTCATAAATAAGGTGCTTTGTAGTTTTGCTCAGGACCTTTTTTTTTTTTTTTTTTGGAGTTACCTCTGTTCCCAACACAGGGCTCAAACTCACGACCCCAAGATCAAGAGTCATATGCTCTACCAACTGAGCCAGCCAGGTGCCCCAACTCAGGGTCTTTACTGAGAGGGGAGTAAATTCCAGAGAGGCCTCCCTAGGCCTGTGCTGTCTAATATGATAACCAGGAGGCACACGTGGCTATCGGGCATGTGACATGGGGCGAGGTCCAGCACAAATGTGCTCTAAGTGTGAAGTGCACATCAGATATTAAAAACAATATGAAAACATGAACATAAGATATCTCACTTCTTTTTATCCCATATTGAAATGATACTATTTTGAATATATTGGGTTAAATAAAATATCAAAATTAATTTTACCTGTTCCTTTTTTTTTTATTTTCAAAGATTTATTTATTTTAGAGAGAGAGCACAAGTGGGGGTAGGGGCAGAGGGAGAGGGAGAGAGAGAATCTCCAGCAGACTCCTCGCTGAGCATGGAGCCTGATGGGGGGCTCAATTTCACAACCCTGAGATCATGACCTAAACCATATCAAGAGACGGACACTTAACTGACAGAGGCACCCAGGGCCCCTTCCTTTTTTGATTTGTTTAAAGAATGTGGCTCCTAGAAAATTTTAAATGACCTCAGAGGCCCCCAGGCTCATATTCTCTTGCTTTGGACAGTACTACTTCCAACGACTCCTTTCAGAAGCAGGTGGAGCTCTAGATGAAGCCTCTTTGCCCATCCCTGCCCCAGACAGCCACCCCCTCCTTTGCTTTCAGCTAATATGGGAGCCTCCTCCAAGCTTGGGACGACAGTGGACGTACTGCAGGAAAAGATCGGGAGCCTCCAGAGATCCAGGATAAAGGCGAGTGCCCCAGGCAGAAAGAGCTTCAGGGGATGGGCGGCTTGAGGTGGGCTGATGGCAGAGTCCCTGACCCAGGACAGCGTTTGTCTGTCCCATAGCTGAAAGGCAGCCTGGGGGAGTCAGTGGGACCGAGGAGGCAGACCTGGCAGGTGCAGGGGTCCCAGTGGGTTGTGCCTGTGTGGTTCCCGTGGCAAGGGTCTTTGGGGGCCACCGAGGTGGCAGGCTGGAGACGCACTGGCCTGGTATACTCTTCATGCCCCTTCTCCAGCCATGGTGACCTTAGAAGCAGAGGCCTTTGTGTCCGTGTCTCCCCCTTTTAGGAGGAGGAACTCAAGAGAGTTTGGGGTCACCAGATAGAGAAGATAAAGAATCACCACATCGTGCTGGACAGGGCAGTGGAGAAGCTGCAGATTCGCTTGGATGACTTGAAGGTCTGGGGGCTTGGCTGGGCAGCTGCAGGGAGGGCTCCTCGCTTGGACATTTGGACCCTCCCTGAAGGTCTCACGGATACAGCAATGGTGGGGAAACCAGGGCCGCTGCACTGGCATTTTACTTTGTGTGAATTACACCTCAGTGGAAACAGACAAATTCCACCACCCCCGCTTGCACCCCCAAACATAGAAACGAGGGCCTGAGCAATGTCTGTGTTACAGACCGCTGGGTCAGCCACCCCAGAAGGGTGCCTGGCGCATAGCAAATGCTCAAAATGTGCTGAAGGAATCAGTGAATGAATAAGAGGATCTCTTGCATCAACTCTTAGGTTCCTAACGTTTCCCCTAAGCCAGATTGTTGGTGAATTCTCAGCATTGGGGCATGGGGCGAGGTGGGGGGTGTCTTTCTGAAACGGCAGATTTGCTGACCCCACAATTGTGTAGACACAGAGCGCCTAGCTGGGGCTCACTCGGCCCAACACCCACTCCCATGGGCCTGGAGGGTCTGACTCAGCTGGCCTGATGACCCTGACCTGATGGTCCTCAGGACCTGTCCAGTCCGTGCCTTGTCTCAGAGGTGTCCCCGACCTTTGGAGGAGGACTCAGAGTCATTCCTAGCAGGAGGAGGTGACCTTCCCTCAGAGTATAAGAGACAAAACCCCACACAAAACCAATGGAGATGGTTTCCATGGGGGCTTCCGATTCCAAGTCAGGGGGCTATTGGTGGGATGCACGAGGATGTAGGAGGCGCAAGGCAAAGGCTTATCTCTCCCTCCCAAGACCATGACACAGAGGAATCAGGCTACGACACACACAGGGCGCCTTTGTTGCGGAAAGAACTCCTGAAAGGGGAACCAGTCGTAGCCTGAGCGAGGGTGAGGGTGCTGTGTGTGGCCAGAGGGGCCGCAGGCTTGCCGGCGCAGACTTTTGTGAATGCCGAGATTGGGAACTCCCTTGTCTCTGGCCAGCTCCAGGCCCTCCCTGTCACCTGCCCTGTGGAGAGGCTGGGCTGCTGTGCCCTGCAGGGTGCCTCCCCCGGTGGAGACAGGAGCCAGCGCTCTGGCCTGCCCTACGCTGGGGGAGGGAGTCGCTCACTGTCTGCCTCCCGAGTAGCTGTCGCTTGTCGAGGGAAACTGCAGAGGACAAGGCCTGACCAAACAGTGCCAAACAGAACAAGTCAGCCTTTGTGCTGCCTGCCCCTGTGCCAACAGGAATCCGCTGCTTATAAAAGTTAACCCTGGAAGGACCTGGAGCAGGGTTCCATATACAACCCATGTTTCGTTAAATATTTCCTAAATGAATACAGGCGATAAGAAATCAGCAGCCCTGTGGAGCCCTTCCCGAGGAAACGAGGGAGGGCAGACCCATCCGCCGTGGTTCTCTTGCAACATCTGGAGATGTGACGCTCTCCCTGGATGTCTGCAAGAAACATCAGGAACACAGCAGGTGGCACAAGAAATCCTCTTATTCATTCACTGAGTCATTCAGCCCCTGCTACCAGCATCCACTTTGCACCAGACACCCTGCTCGTGGCTGGTGATGCTGCGGTCAGCAAGACAGACACCCTCCAGGCCCTTCGGGGGGAGGGGTCAGTGGTGCATTTGTTTATTTTTAACTGGAGTGTAATTTATACACAGTAAAATGCCCGAGTCTTTTTTTTTTTTTTAAAGATTTTATTTATTTATTTGAGAGAGAGAGAATGAGAGACAGAGAGCATGAGAGGGAGGAGGGTCAGAGGGAGAAGCAGACTCCCCGCCGAGCAGGGGGCCCGACGCGGGACTCGATCCCGGGACTCCAGGATCATGACCTGAGCCGAAGGCAGTCGCTTAACCAACTGAGCCACCCAGGTGCCCCAAAATGCCCGAGTCTTAAGTCTAAGAGCTCAGTCCATGTCCGCCTGTTTGTGTAGCCATGCCCCCACCATCCAGTCAAGACGGAAATGTTTCCATCCCCTTGGCGTGCTTCTCTGAGAGTTTCCCACCGAGAACCCAGCCAGAAAATAAGTGGGGGCCAAACTCTTTCTTACGGACCTTACGGAAAATGTGATTTGCGTTTTGCAAGGGGACAAGTGTCTTCCATAAGCCAGAGGCTACATTCCAAAACCATTCCTGGAACAAACGGTGATATTCAGAGTTTGGGCTTGGTGCGGGAGGACACGGATAAGGTGGCCAGTGGGTACGGAGTGCTGACTCTGCCAGAATTAGCCAGAAGATGCCACTTCTTGTCTCTCCAGCCTGTGGGAGAGGCATGGGATTAGTGCCCCCTGAAAGAGCAGAAAACCGATCCAGGCAAAGAAGCCAGTTAGGTTCACCCGGCCGGGAGGCAGCCTGGTGTTAGGGTTCAGAGCTCTGGCTGTGGGTTAGATAGGCCTGGGTTTGAATCCCGGTTCTTCCACTGACTTGGGTGTATTTGTTTCCTGGGGCTACCGTAAGAAATGATCGAAAACACTAGGCACCTGTTCCATCACGTTCTGGAGGCTAAAAGCCCCAAATCCAAGTGTTGGCAGGACCTTGCTCTGACGGAAGGCTCTGGGGGAGGATTCTTGCCTCTTCCAATTTCTGGCGGCTCCAGGCATTCCTTGGCTTGTGGCCACATCCGTCCAATCTCTTGTTTCCCTATTCCCTCTGTGTGTCTGTCTTCATCTCCTTATAAGGACATCAGTCGATGGATTCCAGTATGACCTCATCTTAACTAATACATCTGCAAAGACCCTATTTCCAAATAAGGCCACATTCACAGGTTCTGGGAAGGTATGGATTTTGGGGAAGATGTTAATCAACCCAGTACGCCGGTGACCCTAACAGTAGAAGTTAGAAGATCTAAGCCTAATCAGTCCTCTTTATTTCTAGATTTTAACTAGAAAGAGCCAAGTGGAGATGTAAGTATTAATATTGGGCCTGATGACTCCAAAAGGTCAGGGCTCTCTGCTGATGTGGGGTTGGAGGAAGCAACCTGACTTGAGGCCCAAACAGGGCCTTCCTTCCACACCTCCACTTCCCATTCTAGACCTTGGGGACCCATCTTCAGGCAAGGTGGATGTAATGGAACTTGGCATTTATTAGAATTAGGTTCAACTTCAGATAACCTAATCTCTCCCCCCGCCCACAAATAACTGACTTAAACCAGGTGTAAGTGTATTTCCCATTCACAGTCAAGAAACTCAGAGGTGGTTGGTCCAGAGCTGGTATAGAACTCCATGGTGTATGACTTCCATTCCCAAGCTCACCTCAAGGAACAAGATGGCTACTGGCACTCCAGTCATTAACTCTGTCTTCAAGCCGGCAGTGGAGAGGACATACTTCATTAAATATTTCTTATTTTTCCTACCTACTTCCTGCCCACTTCCATTTACACCCCAGTGGTCATACTGAGCTATAAAGGAGGGTGTGAAATGAATTCATGATTCCGGCTGCCAGGTGCCAGCTCAAAGTTTGGGGGCTCTGTTTCTAACGGTGAGAGGGAAACCAGACATGAAGGAAGCAGCAGAAGCCTATTTCCAGCTTTGGAGAAAATGTGGCTGGGGACAAGGCTCTGGGGACATGGCTCAGAAGGTGTGAGGCTCTGAGGCTCTTCCCAAGCAGGTTAGCCGCGGCTGCTGTCACAGGGAGGGTCCGGAAAGTGGAGAGCGGGCAGAGTTAACGGATGGAGCTGGTTCTTCGTGGAGTGAGGGGGTAGGATATGAGAGTTTCCCCCCAACACTGGGGCACAGCATGTGCGCCATGTAAGTGCTTGGTGGATAAATAGACTCCAGTTCTCACCGGGACCCCATTACAGATAAGAGCTGAACTTGCCTCAAACTTCCAGGGAACCAAAGTGTTGACACTCGTTTACATTTTCCTTCCTCAAGTCTGCTCCCCTCCCCCTGTGCCACCAAGTTCCTACGATGCCACCTCTGAGGGGACATCTTGTCCCAAGGCTCACGTTCCTTCCCTTCTGGTCTGGGCATCTGGAATCCACACCTTTGGACATGCCCACCCTACCTGCTAGCCACCTGGCCCCATTGTCCCTTCCCAGCAGCGTGGCAGGTGTGGACGTGGGAGGAAGACGTTATTTCCAAGGTATCCAGGGATGGGGAACATGCCATTTTCTTCTGTTCTTAGATTGTCCATGCTCAAATTAAAAACCTTGAAATGCACAAGGTGGACAAAAGTGTGATGGAGCAGGAGTTGAAAGAGGTGAGTGGGGGCGCCTGGGTGGCTCAGTCGGTTAAGCATCTGCCTTCAGCTCAGGTCATGATCCCAGGGTCCTGGGATCGAGCCCTGCATCAGACTCCCTGCTCAGTAGGGAGTCTGCTTCTCCCTCTGCCCCTTCCCCCCTCATGTTTGAGCTCATGCTTGCACTCGTGCACAGTCTCTCTCTCTCTCTCAAAGAAAATCTTAAAAAAAAAGGGGGGGGGGCGCCTGGGTGGCTCAGTTGGTTAAGCGACTGCCTTCGGCTCAGGTCATGATCCTGGAGTCCCGGGATCGAGTCCCACACCGGGCTCCCTGCTCAGCGAGGAGCCTGCTTCTCCCTCTGACCCTCCCCCCTCTCATGTACTCTCTCTCATTCTCGCTCTCTCAAATAAATAAATAAAATCTTTAAAAAAAAAAAAAAAGGAAAGAAAGAAAGAAAGAGATGAGTGAGCAGCTTCCTCTCTCCTCCCGCCTGTGCATCCTGAGCCCAGCTCTCCCACCCAGGGGAATGGAGTCATCCAGCCAAGACAAAAACCAGGCAGAGAACCTCCCACAGTTTCCTTCCATCTTTCTCATATAGAAAGGCTAGGGAAGCTTCCCCAAAGTTGTCCTGTCAACTCCTATTTTCAGTGACTCAGGATTAATGACAATTTATTATGTGAACTTAAAAGTCATGGACCAGCTTCTCTATCCACAGGAAGACCTTGGCTTAGACATGACAGTCATGTTTGAGCCAGTTAGACCCCAAGGTTGAATTTAAACCAAGGCCGGGCATTCAGGGTCCCGGACTAAAAAACACAGACCAGAGTGGTTGGATCCCCCAACTTCCTCCTGCTCCCACCCCAGCATCCCTGGCTCCCTGAGTCCCCTGTGTCTCTAGAAAGCCGACAGGAGCACCCTGGCAAGCAAGGCGAGCCGGGCCGACCTGGAGACAGTGGTGACAGAGCTCAACGAGATGATTCAGGGCATGCTCTTCAGGGTCGTGACCCATGAAGATGACTGGAAGAAAGCTCTGGAGCAGCTGAGCAAGGACCTGAGCACCAAGGTGAGTACCCCATAGCAGCCGTCACCTGCTGCATAACAAGTAGCCCTGAAATGTGACACCTTGAAACGACAAGTGCTCAGAGTTGCTGAGGGCCAGGAATTGGGGAGCAGCTTAGCTGAGGGACTCAGATTCTCCCGTGAGGCTGCAGTCAAGAGGCCATCCAGGGCTTCAGACCACTAAAGTGCCATTTCCAAGATGGCACCCTCCTGTGGCTGTCAGCAAGACACTGTACTTCCTTGCCACTCAGATTTCTCCTCAAGTCTGCCTGAGTGGCATCACAACATGGTAGCCTACTTCCCCAGAGCGAGTGACCCAGGAGAGCCCTACGGGAGCTGTGTATTGTCTTCTAGGACAGCCACACCGCATCATTTCTGTAGCATCCTATGGTTCCACAGGCGAGCCCTACTCCGTGTGAGAGGGTGTGAGGACCAAGAGGTGTGGGCCAGGAGCACCTTGGAGGCTGACTACCATAACTCTCCTGCCTGGCCCAGCAAAGGGGCATGGCAAGGTGGCGGTGAGGGGGCAGGGGAGATCTGCTGATCATTTATTTCCTCTTCTGTCATTTACTGACCACCTGTGATAAGCCAGACTCTGGAGAAATGTTGATAATGAGTCCCAGCCCCTGCCTTGATCAGGACTGTCCAGTAGAGAGACAGCAACAGTCAAACCAACAATTACAGTGCTGTGCAGCTCCTGAAGTTTGGGTTCAGAGTCCAGCAGCCCTGGGAGCAAGTCCCAGCTCCCCCTGAGTGGCCATGGGCCCCAAGTGGTATGACCTCCCTGAGCCTCAGCTTCCTCCTCCACAAAACGAGGATTTGTTCGTTCATCAACTGCGCAGTGGGCACCTACAGTGGATGTAACGACAAGCAAAACAGATACGGACGTGTTTCTCTCAGGGACACGTTCCTCATAAAAGTCACAGATCAGTGCGGAATCGCAGCCTGAGTGAGTCCAGTCATCTACAGAAAACTGACCTACTTTTCCTCAATAATTCAATGATGGGGTGGGGAAAAGAGTGGAGACAGACACTGTTCTAGATTACAAGTGTCTCCAGAGACAAAACAACCAAACGCAGCTCATGAGGAGACCTGGCTTGTGTCCTGGTTCAGTTGCGCCAGCTCTACACATGGGCTGGGAATTGGTGCAAAGTCAGGAATTCCTGTTCGTGTGTTCGGTGTCCTGAGGGTGTTGCGGTCACGTAAGAAAATGTCCTCACGGTGGGGGGGCGTGGGGGGGCACAGTTGGTGGAGGCTCTGACTCTTGGTTTCAGCTCAGGTCGTGATCTCAGGGTCGTGAGATCGAGCCCCACGTCGGGCTCCATGATCAGCGCAGGGTCAGCTTGAGATTCTCTCTCTCCCTCTGCCCCTCCCCATCTCAAAAATAAATAAATAAAGCTTAAAAAAAAAAAATGTCCTCATGAGTACTATGGTATTTATGAGTGAGGTATCATGGTCTTTCTGTTTTAGAGAAAGAGAACACATGGGGAGGTGGGGGAGGGAGAGAGAATCTCAAGCAGGCTCCACACCCAGCTGGTTAACCTTTAACCATTTTAAAATGACTAAATCAGTGGCATTTTGTACATTTACAGTGTTGTGTAAGCACTACCTCTGTCTGGTGGTAAGACACTATCATCTCCCCAAAAAGAAGCCCATACCCATTTAGGCAGCACCCCCCCAGCCCCTGGGAACCACCGGCCTTCTTTCTGTCTCTGTGGGTTTGCCTATTCTAGACATTTCATATAAATGGAATCATACAAACTGTGACCTTTTGTGATTGGCTTCTGGCACTTAGCATCATATTTTCAAGGTTCATTTATGGATCAGATCTCCATTCTTTTTTATAGCTGAATACTAATTCCATCGACAAGAGAGACCACATTCTGTTTATTCATTCATCTGTTGATGGACACTTGGGTTGTTTCCACCTTTGACTATTATGAATAATGGTGCTGTGAACATACATGTACACATTTTTGTTTGAATGCCTGTTGTTAGTTCTTTTGGGTAGATAGCCAGGAGTGGAATTGCTGGGTCATATGGTAATCCTCTGTTTAACTTTTTATAGGTAGGGGTGATATATCATGTCTGCAATTCACTCTGAAATGATTCAGAAAATGAACGGATACACATATGTACAGATAAAGAAAATGTGGTAAAATGTTAAAAGTTGATTAAATGGATGTCCAAGTGGTCCTTTGGACTATTCTTGCAACTTTTCTGTAGATTTAAAAGTTTTCAAAATAGGAAGCTGGGGGAAAGAGTCTTCTTGGGGTGCTGTGCACTTTGTGTCACCTTGGGTCGGCAGGTAGGTCATGCTGGCCGGTGGTCCCTTCAGTGGTGAAGCAGATTCATCAGAGCCCAGCGATGCTAGGCTGATGTCATCACTGTAAAGGTACATTCCCGCCTTATAAGCAGCAAGTGATTTGGGGGTGACCCTTTGGCACCCTGGAAATGTCTATTGCCTCATTGGCCATTCTTCTAGTGGCTTCCTCATAAATTGAGAATTGTTTCCTGAACTGGTTATTTCATGGTTGCAAAATGGTGAGTTCTCTAATCTTAGCACTGCTTCTCCATTTACCAGCTGGAAATCCATAAAGAAGAGCTCTCCCTCATCAGCTTGAGCCAATTACCCTGAAATATGGTTCTTGCAGGAAAGACAAGAACAATGATTTCCTTAATTACCGGTGTTCAGGAATGATATCACTGCTAAAGACACCTCCAATATATGGTGGCAAATGGAGGTTTCTGGGTTTTGTTTTGTTTTTTTTTAATTTCTTTTTGTGAATGTCACTGTGAATCATGGGTTTTAATGTGTTCAATTCGCTCAATCAGTTAAGTTACTATTTCTTTTGTCACTTACGTGTTCTCATCTTTGGCCTGTGAGCTGGCTTCTGAGCCCTTTGACTTGACCCTCTGTCTCAGAAAGTGGCCTTGGTTCCTTAAAGGACAAAATGTTCCAGGCTCATCTTCAACATTCCCTTCCTCAGACCTGATTCAGTCATTTCTCTACAGAGTCTCGGTTCCTGTTAGTGGGGAGTGGTGTTTAGAGACCAAACTGTGGGCACTGGAAGGAACACTTTAAACTACACCCAACAGGGGCGCCTGGGTGGCTCAGTCGTTATGCATCTGCCTTTGGCTCAGGTCATGATCCTGGGGTCCTGGGATCGAGCCCCGTGTTGGGCTCCCTGCTTCTCCCTCTCCCATTCCCCCTGCTTGTGTTCCTGCTCTCTCTGTGTTTCTCTCTGTCAAATAAATAAAATCTTAAAAAAAGAAAAAAAAAGGAACATGTAAACTACGCCCAACATGGGGTTTGCACTCATGACCCCAAGATCAAGAGTCACATGCTGGATTTAAAAATTCACGAGTCCCGGGCGCCTGGGTGGCTCAGTTGGTTAAGCGACTGCCTTCGGCTCAGGTCATGATCCTGGAGTCCCTGGATCGAGTCCCGCATCGGGCTCCCTGCTCGGCAGGGAGTCTGCTTTGCCCTCTGACCCTATCCCCTCTCGTGTGTTCTCTCTCTCTCATTCTCTCTCTCTCAAATAAATAAAATCTTAAAAAAAAAAATTCACGAGTCCCACTGTGAAAACCAGTCTGGCAGTTTCTCAAAAAGATAAATATAGGGTCACCATACAACTCAGCACTTCCAGGCCCAGGTGTGTACCCAAGAGAAATGAAAATGGGTCCACACAAAAACTTGTACACAAATGTTCATAGCAGCATTACTCATGATAGCCAAAAAGTGGAAGCAACTCAAACGTCCATCAACAGATGGATGGATAAACAAATTGTGGTCTATCCATCCACAAACTGTGGTGGAATATTATTCAAACCATAAGAAGAAATGAAGCTCAGATTCATGCTGCCACCTGGGTGACCCTTGCAGACATGATGCTGAGTGAGAGAAACCAGACACCGAAGGCCATGGATTGTGTGATTCCATTTATATGAAATGTCCAGAACAGGCAAATCCATAGACAAAAACTGGGTTAGTGGGTTGCCTACACCTGGGGGTTTGGAGCTCACTTCGCCACTTGCAATAGCATCCATTAGGAGATGAACCTTAAGCTAAGGTTCCTTTTTGTCATTTTCCTTTTCCTTGACCCCCTCACTGTTTCGGTTTAATCTTTTTTTTTTTTTTAAGATTTTATTTATTTATTTGAGAGAGAGAAAGAGCACAAGAGGGGGGAGTGGGAGAGGGAGAAGCAGACTCCCTGCCGAGCAGGGAGCCCGATGCGGGACTCGATCCCGGGACTCCAGGATCATGACCTGAGCCGAAGGCAGTCGCCCAACCAACCGAGCCACCCAGGCACCCTCGGCTTAATCTTGTTACACTCTGTGTAACTTTGCTGCAACTCCTTTTCTGGAGTGAAGCAGTGTGGGAGTAGGGGGGTAGGGGGGTGGGGGGGTGAATTAGTTGACTAAATGCTCTTTTCCCTTCGGCTGTTTGCAGCCGGTCCACAGCGATTTGAATGGTCTGAAGAAAGACATGGATGAGATCTGGAAAGTACTCAGGAAGCTCCTGATTGAAGGCCTCCGATTTGACCCTGACAGAGCTGCTGGCTTTAGGAAGTGAGCCCCTCCTGGGTAGGGGTGCAGCTCCCAGAGGCTGGGGAGACCCCCTCTCCAGAGAGGAAACCAGAGGGGAATCCCAGCGGATTCTGGGAAGAAGGGTTCCAGACCTGTGGACCCAGGGGAAAGGGGTGGGGCTTCCTGGCTTCGGGGAGGAGGGTGAAGGTGGGATGGAGCTGAGGGCACCGAGGGGCTCTGGCCTTGGCTGTCGAGGGGCTCCAGGAACCCATCTGCTCCAAAGCCCTCTTGCCACAAATGAAACCAAGGCTCACAGAGGGTAGGGGCCATGCAAGGCCTCACAGAGAGCCTGGGGATCTGGGACTGGAGCCCTCTTGCCATGTCCCCCACCCCATCCAGATAGAGCCCCAGGCAGAGGGACTCAATGTTGGGGTGCGGAAGGAGGTCTCCTGTCCTCAGATGACCCCTCATCCTTCCAAATATCCCCTGTGTAGGGTAGCTTTCCAGAGGCCCCTGGTTTTAAAGACCTCCATTGTGTTGGGGGCAGGAACATTAACTACACACACTATCCCCTACCTGTGCCCCAGGCAGCCACAGGATAGGGATCAGCAGGGGCCAGCAGAGCCGACTTGAGCTGAGCTGGGCCAGGTCAGCGGGGGAGTAGGGTGTGGAGGGTGGTCCTGACCCTGAGGAACAGACAGACCTTCCCCCACGGTGCACCAGCTGACGGCTGGCTGTCTTCCAGGAAACTGTTTGAGCGGGTGAAATGCATCTCCTGCGACCGGCCAGTGGAGCTGATGACGGGCCCGTGAGTACCGCCGCCAGGGGGCGCCCACGCCCACCCGGTCTGTTTGGATTCCCCCTACCTACCCGCCTGGGGAGGTTCTAGGTCCATCATTTATCCGTCCGTCCGTATACATTATTCCGTACACTTGATTTCATTTGCTCCCGGTCCCGGGCAGGGGCACTTGGCATCCCCTCCTTCATCAGCCCTGCCTGGCGCCTGCTGTGTCCCATGCTCAAGATCAACTCCAAAAGCAAAAGGATAGAAGGAAACTGGGGAAAAGCTGAACTTTGTGGGACTTCCTTGCATGTATTTTTAGAGTCTAATGCTTTTTATTTATTTAGGTGAAACTCACACACACACACACCATTTTAAAGTCAACAGTTCAGTGTCATTTGGTGCACATTCACGATGATCTGCAACCATCACCTCTAATTCCAAAGCATTTTCATCTCCCTAAAAGGAAACCCCAGACTCATTAGCAGTCTCCCCCACCCCCGACAACCACTAACTTTCCATCTCTGTGGATTTGCCTATTCTGGACACTCCATATGAATGAAGTCATACGACCTCTGACCTGGTTCTGGCTTCTTTCACTGAGCATCATGTTCTTAAGGTTCATCCACACTGGCGGGTGTCAGTGCCTCATTCCATTTTTTATGGCTGAATTGTATCACATTATATAAGCCGCCCACATTTTGTTTATCCACTTACACGCTGATGAACATTTGGGTTGATTCATCTTTTAGCTCTTGTGATTAGTGCTGCTGTGAACATGCATGTACATAGATTGGCTGGAATACCCGCTTTCCCGTATTTTGGGTATAAACCTGGAGGTGGTGGGAGTGCTGGGTCATGTGGTCCCTTGACAATTAACTCTTTGAAGAACCACCAAAAAACACTCTCATAGGGTTTAAGAGCCCGAATCTTGCAGTGCCCACGCTAGCCTGGCCCCCGTGACCCACGAAGCTCACCACCCTACATCATCAGTCCATGCTCATGGAGGGGCTTTGAGCCTATATCCAGATTTTTTGGTTAAAGCCACAGATCCCTAGTTGCAGCGTTATTTATAATATTTTAAAAAGTAAGAAAGGAAACAATGTGAAGTGGTGAATGAGTTATGTATATTTACATCAGCTGATATAAGTCATGTCGTAGAAGGAGGTATAATGGAACCTTCTGAGATGTGGAAATGGTTGCAGCTACACCATCCAACGCAGTAGCCAACAGCCACATAGGGTTAATGCGGCTGAAAATGGAATTTTGCGTTTTATTTAAATTTATTTAAATTTAACCATAAATTTAAATACCCGCCGGTGTCCAGTAGTTGCCATATTGGATGGCACAGTCGTGGAAGAATTATTTCGTGGCCTGGAAAAAGGTTCATAATAACTTAAATGAGAAAATCAAGTAGTTTGTGTGTGATCCTATTTTTGTTTTGTTTCGTTTTTTAGCAAGTTTTATTGAGTGATAGCAGTGATAGTATAAAGCTCCCAAGGAGGGAGGGGGCCCAAAGGGGTTGCCCATGATCCTATTTTCGTTAAAAAAAAAAAAATACAGGGGTGCCTGGGTGGCTCAGTCGTTAAGCGTCTGCCTTTGGCTCAGGTCATGATCCCAGGGTCCTGGGATCGAGCCCCGCATCGGGCTCCCTGCTCGGCGGGGAGCCTGCTTCTCCCTCTCCCGCTCCCCCTGCTTGTGTTCCCTCTCTCTCTGTCTCTCTCTCTCTGTCAAATAGATAAAATCTTTAAAAAAAAAATACATAAACACAGAAAATTACTGGAAGGACCCATATCAAAATATTTGTCACATGGTTATAGAGCTTTTTGTGTTTATTTGTGCTCTGTCCTTTTTAAAATGCTGACAGTATATATTACTTTAACATTTTATTGTGGTTAAAATGGTAAAGTATGTAAATATTTACGGTGCAACCTGATGAATTTGTACACGTGTATACACCTTTATAACCACCTCTGAGATCAACGTGTACAACAGTTCCCTCTGCTCAGAGAGCTGGTATATATATATATATTTTGTGGAGGTAAAATACACAACACAAATCAACCATTTAAAATTGGGCAGGTCAGGGGCATTTAGTGCCTCAACAATATTGTGCAACCACCACTCCTTCTGGCACCAGAGCATTTTCACCAGCTATCCAGAAGGAAACCCCAGCCCCATTTGTGGCCACTCCCCATCCCCTCCCCCAGCCCCTGGCAACCTCCGATCTGTGTTCTGTTTCTAGGATTCACCTGTTCTGGCTTTTAGTTTTATAATCAGAACAGTTGTTCTTTGTGACTGTCAAAGATCACTGGGGCTCTTTAGGGCCCTGAACGCAGCGGGCTGTGCTGTGGACGTCTCCAAAGAGAGGAATGGGTTTAAGGGTAGACTTCCTGGAGGAGGAGGGAGGCTGGAGCTGTCTGCTGGCCACTTGCACCTCCCCCTGAACTCTTGTCCTCCAACAGGCCACTCATCACCATCCGCAAAGCCCACCTGCTTTCGAGGCTGCGGCCAGCCAGCGCCAACACCTATGAGTACCTGCAGCAGCAACAGTTGAGGTGAGTGGGCTGGGGGCGTGCCCCGCAGAAGCCCTCAGGAGCCCGCAGCCCTGCAGAGACACCAAGTCCAGTCCCAGGGCATTGCCAGCCATCTGCAAGGGAGCCGTTTGGGGAGGTGGCTGGGGCAGCAGATGGCCTGGGAGAGGACACTGGCAGAAGGGAATGGGCATATTTATTGGGCATCTATTATGGGCGGAGACCGTTGGGGAAGGATTCTCATTTAAATCTCACCACTCCTGTGAGCTAGGATGGACGTGCCCGCCTCCAGCTGCAGGAAGTAAGCGAGGGCCCTGGTCTCCGCTCACTGCACTGAGTGCTTTGCCCTAGCCGACCTCGGCGAATCCTTAAGCCTTCCCTTTGAGGTGTATTCTATCTTCACCACATTTTGTAGTTGAAGGAAATGAGGTTCAGAGAACTTCAGCCACCTGCCCAAGGTCACAACTAGTAAGTGGCAGAGTTGGTGCCTTGACCTGCAGTTTCCCAGCACACCTGGCAGGCTCCCTGGGTCCCGGCCCCACCCTCAACCTCCTGACTTCCCACGCTCTGTGGGTGCTTCCTGCACCCTGGCCTGAGATACTTCTGGCCAAGTGGGGAAATGAAGGCTGACCAATAATCACAGCCACATAAAGGGGAGAGCCATGGGGGCCTGGGCCTGCACCCCCACCTTCCTATGCTTGACTCCTTCTTGAGATCACAGGTTAAAAGCCTTCTGTTGTCGGGCCAGACCAGGGCCCCCAGGGGTGGCTGGGTCTGGGGGAGCATAAGACTTGGTTTTCCCTTCTGCCCCGACTGCGCCTGTCCGTATCCACCTGCTAGCCCAAAGTACCCCCCAAACTCAAGCTGGAAGAAATTCCAGTCGTGTCTTGCCACTGGGCGGGCCCTTGGGCCCATCCTGATGCTGCTTTGGGGCAGAGGGTTCTCCCAGCGCCTGCTGTCCTACCTGCTTACCCCAGGGAACACCGGCGGCTACAGCAGCTCCGGGACCTTGGAGACCAGCACAGTAGTCTGGATTCGCTGGGGTCCCAGAAGGACTGGGGCGATGGCCCTGGCAATTTTGCCAACCTCAAGTTCAACTCCTATGACTTGTCAACGCTCTACCCCTACGGGGACCCCGAGGTGTTGGACTATGACACCGTGAGTATGGCATACACCCTGGGCGTGGGTGACCCCGGGGAGGCCGTGCTCTGTCTGCTGATCCTCTGCATGTACCAGAGATGCAGGGGAGGACACTCCCTGACTTGCGGTCCGGGCCATCTAACAGGCTGAGGTGGACATTCTGGGAGTGGACGGGATCCTGTACAAGGGCCGAATGACCAACCAGGATGGGGCACGGCCTTTGACCAGCGTTGAGAAGGAGATGACAGGTGAGAGGTGTCAGGACTTCCTGGGAGCCCGTGTCCTAAATGTCCTGGCTTTGCTGGGGAGGATGAGGAGGTGAAGGCAGGACTCAGAGCTGGCCCCATCCTGGACTGGGGGGTTCTCAAACAGTCACTTGCAGAAATGGGGTTCTACTGTATGCCAGGCACTGCACCAGGCACTGGGGAGGTGGTGGGGAGCAAAGAAAGATGGGCTATCACCCCAGGGTTTCCACACCAGTGGGAGAACCAGACTGTGCGCAAATAACCTGAAGATGAGGCCCCATTGTTTGGAATAGCAGTGAATAGCTGACCTGAGGGGAGGGGCCTGGAGACAAAGGATGCCGGCCTAGGGATGGGTGCCAGTGGCCTCACGAAAGAGGGATGCTGGGCTGGGGATGGGAGAGTTGTGAGAGGGACATCAGTCCAAGAAGAGGCCTCTGATGAGGGAATAGGGGTTAGCTGGCTAAAGAGGCCAGGTGGAAAGAGAGCAGTCCAGGTGGAGGGCATAGCAGGTGCAAAGATCCTGTGGTGGCTGGAAGCCAGGCACAGTTGGAACTCAGGAAAGTGAGTCAACCTGTGGTGGAGATTGGGAAGGGGTTGGGAATGATGAAGAGATGTGCACAGGCCCTGGAGGCTTGTGTCTCAGTGTCCCAGGTAGGGGAGGGTTGGGTTAGTAGGGGACACATGGAATCAGTTATTCTGATTGCTGCAGCTTCAAGGCTCCCGCTCCAGATGGCTCCTACTGGGAACCCCAGTCCTTGGCTCCAGCAGTGGGCCGGCAGTACCAGAAGGGGTACATTCTGTGCACACCCTTCGGGGTTTTCTCCTTCTGGGAAGAGGAATTCTCAGTTTTGCTCTGGGTGGGAGCCATACACTGCCCCATGGCAGGGGGTGAGGGTGACCCTGGAGCCCCAAGGTGGCTGGAGGGTTAAATTCTGCCCATGGTATTCTTCTTCACCCCACATTGTCCTATTGACTGGAGGACGAAATACCAGACGCGTAGGGAAAGGGGACTGTCCAACTGGGGGTGCTGGACAAAGAAAGAAGAGCCCGCGTTGGTGTCCTGGGGCGGCTGCAACAAATGGCCACAAACTGGGGAGCTTGAGACAGCAGAATTTCTCACGGTTCAGGAGACTAGAAGTCCAAAATCAAGGTGTCCCAGGGCTGTGCTCACTCCCAGGGCTCTAGGGGAGGTTCCTTCCTGCTTTTTCCCGCTTGTGGCGGCTCCACGCGTTCCTTGGCTGGTGGCTGTGTCCCTCCAGTCTCCGCCTCCGTCTTCCCGTGGCCTTCCCCCTGTGTCTTCTCTTCTGTCTCCTATAAGGACACTTGTCTCCTTAACTAGGGATGAGCCCAAGATCCTTAATTACATCTGCGAAGGCCCTTTCTCCAAATAGGGTTATATTTATAGGTTCTGGGGGATGTATCTTTTTGGGGACCACCCATCAAGCCAGGAGGGCAGGACACCATCCGAACCCTGCATTCCCCCAGCATGGATCTGGCCCATGTGGCGTTCATGGCTCGTCCCAGACAAGGCTCAGCCCCCGGCAGCAGCTGCTGTTAGGTTAAGCCTCAGGGGTCACCAGGCAGGATAATAACAATGGTGGCTAATATTTAATGAGCCCCAACTTATTGCCAGGCTGGCGCTGCCTCCTTCTTCCGGCAACAAACAGTTGAGGCATTGCACAAGGGCAGCTGGGGGTTGCTGGCTGGAAGTGCACCCTTGGTGGAGGGGCCCTTCTTCCTGCTCAGGCACCAGACAGGGCCCCTCCCCACCCACCTCCCCTGGGCTGTCACCCAGAGGGATGGGGCTTCTCTCCCCACGGCTCATTCATTCTTGAGACCCATGCAGCAAAGCAGGCCTGAATCACAACACCTCAACTGCTTTGTCCTGCTTGGGGACAACAAAGCTTAGAAATCAATCAGAAACCTGCCTGTGGCCAGATCTTTTGACCAGATTGTTCTTATCGCTCATTTATTTACTCGAAAGAACATTCTAATCCAAAACAAGCTCGAAAACTAAACCTAAATGAGCCCGCATGAGCCCTGCCCCAGGTCCAGCCTGGCCCCCGATGCGTTCGTCTGTTCACATCAGCATCCAGCATGTCCTGCCGTTTACTCAGCCCTTTGCCAGGCCCACAGGGGACACTGAGGGGCAGCTGGGCAGCCTGTGCCCTCCGGATGCTTGCACTGAGTCAGGAGCTCAGGCCAGGGCAGGGGAACGGCTGGTCCCTAGTGAGCCGTGCCCCCGCAGCAGGGGGATGGACGCGCCGAGACAGGTGGTCAGCAGGCTGGACTTTCAGACAAGTGCCCTGGAAGGAAGGCTAAGTTCAGGCAGGACTTGGGTAGGACGGAGAAGGATGTGGCAGGGGCGGGCGCAGGCCTCAGCCCTCCTCACCAGCTCTGGGTGGACTGCCTAAAATGCACACTGCGACCGGGACCCTCCCCAGCTCAGAGCCCATCCCTATGAGTTTCCTATGGCTGCTGTAACTAATTCCCGCAAACCAAGGGGCTTAACCCAAATTTATTATCTTCGTTCTGGAGGTCAGATATCCGAAATGAGTCTTACAGAGATAAAACTAAGCTGTTGGCAGGGCCGGTTCCTTCTGAGGCTCTAGGGGAGACTCTGTTTCCTCCCCGTTTCCACCTGCCAGGGGTCTCGCTCCAACCTCACTTCCGTCCTCACCTCCCCTTCTCTGACTCGGACCCTCTGGCCTCTCTCTTCAGAGCCTTGCGATTACATTGGGCCATCTGGATAATTCAGGGTCCTAGGTTTTAGGGTTTAGGACGGGGACATCTCAGGGGCACTGCCCTCCGAGTCCAGGCTCCTTGGCCAATCTGGCAGGGGGGTGGGGGAGAAGGGGGTGCTTGTCCCCTGTCTGCCCCTCCCTCCAGCATCTCAAAACTGTTTTCCCGTCTGTCAGTGAGTCCAGCTGTCTCCCTCCTCTGGGCCTCTGCCTGTGCTGTGTGCCTGCCTTGAAGACCTGGGGAACCTTTCTCATCTGCCAGAGCTTAGGGTCCCCTCCCATTGAGAGCCTCCCAGCTCCTCGGTTCTGGCTTCTGCAGAGGTGGGCAAGCCGCAGAGGAGGGCCTGGGAGGAGCAGGTGTCCGGGTCAGGTGTCGAGTTCGGGTTCTGACCTGTCGAGTCCAGGGCATCTGTTGGGTCAGAGCTGGGTTTCCAAGCCTCACTGGGTCTCGATTTTGAACCTGGGCCCTGGGCCCACATCCCTCACCTGGCAGGGAAGCAGTGAGACAGTCTCACTGGTCAGCTGGTTGGCCGGTCCTGCCTCAGACCTGTGGAGGGATCCAGGTGCCAACTGGTGATCAGAGCGGGGGCCAGGGAGTATGCCTCAACTGGGCATTTGCTCTTCGCAGAACCCAGGAAGCACACTGGAGCTAGTTCTTAGTTCATATTCAAGGAGCAGTTGATGTAGACCTTGAGACAGAGTTAGGAATGCAAGAGGTTTGGGGTGGGAGGGTTACAAAGACAGGGGTGAGGAAAGGGAGGGAGCAAGCAGAGACCCTCAGATAGTAAGCAGATCTGATGAGGTCCAGGCCAGCCCTGGGGAGCTGAACAAACACCCCTGTGCTCCCGCCATTGGCCGGAGCTGCTAACAGCCCCTGAGGTGCCAACAGGTGAGACTTGACTCCTTTTGCTCCTGCGGCTGAACAGCGAGTTCTTCCTTAAAAGGGAATTTGTATAGCTGACCCTGCTGCCGAAAGGCCCTGGTCACTCAGCTGGTCATTCCCAAGCCCTTATTGGCTCCAGGTTTACTTTAGATACCACTGGGGAGACCCGATGTGGACAAAATAAAGTTATTGCCCCCTTAGAGTTTTTACCCCATGAGAGACCATAAGATATAAACTCAATAAATAATTCAGTGAGTAGGATGAAACATGGGAGTGAGGGAGAGGATGACCACTTGAGCTAAAAGACTCTTTAAAGAAAGGACATTCGAAGTGGGAATTGTCAGGACACCCAGGGAAGGACATAGTGCCCGGGCAGAAGGAACAATCCGGTGTCCTTCATGGGAAGGAGCTCGGTGCCCCTGTAACTCGTCTTGAAGGGCAGGCCTGGGCTCTCATCCGCATCTTCACTTTCACGGCCTCTGCCCCACCCCCACGGTCCCACCTCTTCTTGTGCAGCCTTTGGTCTGGGTGGCCGGTCATGGAGATTCTGGGCTGGACATGGAGAAGGGGATGCCTTGGGTTCAAAAGTGAAGGATGGAGGGCACCTGGGTGGCTCAGTTGGTTAAGCGACTGCCTTCGGCTCAGGTCGTGATCCTGGAGTCCCAGGATCGAGTCCCGCATCGGGCTCCCTGCTCAGCGGGGAGTCTGCTTCTTCCTCTGACTCTCCCCCCTCTCATGCTCTCTCTCTCATTCTCTCTCTCTCAAATAAATAAAATCTTTAAAAAATTAAAAAAAAATTTTTAAATGGTGGGGCACCTGGGTGGTTCAGTCTGCCTTCGGCTGGGGTCATGATCCCGGGGTCTTGGGATGGAGCCCCGCATCAGGCTCCCTGCTCAGCGGGGAGCCTGCTTCTCCCTTTCCCTCTGCTGCTCCCCCCTGCTTGTGCGCGCGCTCTCTCTCTCCGTCAAATAAATAAAATCTTTAAATAAATAAAATCTTTAAATAAATAAATGGTTAATTTTGTGGTATGTGGCTTTTACTTCAAAAAAAAAAATTCACACAATGAGGGACGGAAAGGTGGGGGCGGGGGCACAGTGGTGGTCTGGCCTCAATGGGAATATCTATGCCTTGAGAAACCGTAGACTCGGAAAGGTGGGAGGAGTCTTCCGCAAAGGCTGGGCGGCAGGTGTGTGGAGGGGCGGGTCTGGGGAAACAGTGAAGGGGCCTTTGCGGGATGGGGCGGGGCCTCTGGGAGGGGGCGGGACTCTGCAAGAGCTCTCACCCGGTCCTGTCTCGTCCCCTTTCTTTTTGGCGAAGCTGTGAAGATTCCGCACCCCCCAACTCGAAACCTGTATGATCGTGAACGCCCGAGTAACTTTTATGGTTCCATCTACCCCCGTGAGTACCTGCCCTCCTCACTCCCTGGCCCAGCTGGGATTCTGGCAGTGTCTCTGGTGCCTCCCAGTCCCAGCCTGGGGCTCTGAGACCTGCCCCACCTCATGAGTCTCTCACCTGCTCTATGTCAGGGCTCAAGAAGGCCCCTTGAGTGGCCCCCACCCAGCACCCGCTCCCTGGCCAGGGCCTCCAGCTATCCTGGGCTCCTAGTTTACCCTTCAGTGGGGCTTCCTGGCCCGGGTGCCAGTCCCAGGGGTCGAGGCCCGATGTCTGTCCGCAGGTGTCTAGCTAGCTGCAGGGATGGGATCAGGAGCCCATTCATTCTGCCTGGGGCCCCATGAGCCAGGCTGGGGGGACTCCTCGGAGTCCTCTCACCATGCACCAGGCATCTGCGGGAGCACTTTCTCCCTTGTGTCCTTAGCCCTGCTCTCCAGGCTGACTGTGGAGCTGGGGCACAGCAACCCCACCCCCCGCTCCGATCCTGGACTCCAGGTCCATGTCGGGTTCAGCGTCCGTTTCTGGTGTCATTTGTCTGGGGTCACCCACCCCCGGGGAGTTTAGGGTGCCTGGGACTGGGTGAGCCGTGGGAAACCACTTCCAGTCTGGTAGCTTCTCGGCTCCTTAGTGGGTATGATCCCATCCGGCCAGCCTCCCCCCCCCCCCCCCGCCGGGCATGTTCCTGGGACACATCACCGACTTTTCTGCCCCTCCCAGCCCTGCACCCCCACGCCAGCTCGGCTGCCTTAGGCCCCCCGCCTACGACACCAGCTCGGCCTCCATCGCTGCCGCCCCTGCCACTGCTCCCCCCACTGACGCCATCCGGGCGGGACCCCCAGCAGGCCCCAGGGCCCGCCCGGCACTCAAGGGCTCTGCGCCTCGAGTCCCGAGCCAGCATGCAGCCCTCCGAGGAGCCCACCAATCCGTGAGCCCTGCGTCCCGCGCCCCTACCGCCTGTCCTCTCCCCCTGCCCACAGAGACTGGGCCCTGAGCCTGGCCTGAGGGGGGTGCAGGGGCCCTGGACGTGGGGGAGGGGCCTCCATAAGGGAATCATTTTGACCCAGGGGCTAGTTTAACTCATGCATATAAATACAACACAATCCTTCTTATCCTACACTTCCTGGAGCACATAGCTTTATAAATTGAATTTTTCACTAAGCCAATATAATTCCTTGACCAGTTTTCAATACAACAGCTAACATGCTTTTAAAAACAATCACTTTCCTTTTTATTTTGCTGAAATGACTCTATCAGAATCAGTTCCAGTTACAGCTACTGCCCACGGACGTTTTCTTTGGGGGCCATTGTTTCTAACAAGACCAATTTTCTCACGGGAACCAAATTTTACTGTGTGCATCTTTTTTTTTTTTTATTTCATGTTGATTATTCCCACCAGTAATTACGGTTATGAATTGGATATTTTTAAAACCTGATTGTTTATATTTACTTTTTTGGCCAATCCATGAGGAACTTGGAGCAGCGGCCCTGGAATATTCCGGGACTGCTCTCTCCCACCAAGGGCTGGAATCCCGCACGCCTGTTTGATGTCCTTCTGGTTCCCGTGCTAACTGCCTGTGCACTTGGTGGAATAAAGAGCTGACCAGGAGGTCATAATGTCCTGATATGGCCATTTAGTGGGCAGCTGCCACCGGGCATGCATGCTTGATTTCTTCCCCTTAGGCAGCTTGTTCCTCCTTCTCCCTGTCAACTTCTCTCCCTCTTCCTCTCCATTCCCCGGCTCTGTCTGGTTGTGTCCTCTATGCTTTTTGAACTTCTGACATGTCTACACATTACACAAAGTCTAAAAAATTTCCCTCTGCTTGGTTTTGGGACATGATTCTACCCGCCCCCGCCCCTGGTAACATCCACTAGAGGCCCCTGGGACTGCCAGGTGGGTAAGGGAGTTGGAGGGGGGTGAGTTGCCCAGGGGTCCGCCAAGGGGGAGCCAGGGAGCTGGCATGGAGGAAGATGCCCAGCCTGGCGGCCATCAGAGTTCAGGAACACTGCGTGCCTACCCCCTTCCTAATGGTCCCCTGGCGCTTTCCCCAGTTCCTCATTGGTGACCACTCCCAGACCCTGACTTCTCTTTTCTTTCTCCAAGGACTGTGTCTAAATGAGGCCAAGCTTTTCCTAACCCAGGCAACTTACCTGTTCAAGATGCCTTAGGGAGCGCTGGCTGGTGCAGTCCTGGACCCCGCACCCACCCCCGTATCACAGATGAGTATTTTTGGCAACTTCTCCCCAGAATAAAATCTTTCACTTTTTGACTGTGGATGAGGGTGACTGGCCTGGTGCCCTCTTTAGAGGGTGGCCTTGTCTGCCCCACGTGGGTGAGTGGACCTGCTGGTCCCTACTCAGGCCCCCACCCCAGGGTCAGCCTCCCAGAGCCACCAGCCAGAACCACCATGGCTGAGTCCCAGTAGAGAATCAACAGCAGACATTCTTGCCTCTGCTACATTTTCCACCATGGCAAAGTGTCCCGAGGTGCCTTAGCCCTATGTTCTGAGGACAGGGGTGGTGGTGTGAGCTGCCCAGGTTTGCTCAGGGAGGCCTCAGCTCTCCAGCCCCTGGCCAGTAGCTGTCCTCCTTGGGTGCTGTACATGGGTATGAGGGCCCCAACTTCCTTCCACCGCCTCCCATGGCAGGAAAGGGAGGTGTGGCCCGGGCTCAGGTGAAGAATCCCATGTCAGGCTTATCCCCTGCAGCCCTGACCCTTGGGCACCCACACACATCCAGGCTCGATTTTCAGACCCTCCTATCCATCCCCAGTCGCCCCTCAAAGCTGCCTTCCCAGCCATTTTTCAGTTTTACAAAGGGAATCCAACCAATCGAGTTGGTTCCTGCAGCCCAGGCATTGAGGAGTGAGGCCCAGGTAGGTGACTGTGTAACCATTTGCATTAGGACAGGCTCCTCAGAGTTTAGGAAGGTGGGGAAAACCACCAGCAGCCAGCCAGGAGCAGTGTCAGAAGACAACAGTCCTGTTCCCCATAGAAGTTGTGGGGGAACAAGCTGGCCTTTGGCCTGGTCCCAGATGGGAGCTGCAGGCAGAATCCTTGCCCCTCCAGATTCCAGCCCCAGAGGGTGGGGTCTGCAGGAAGCTGGGGGGGGAGGTGCTGCACCGACCCCCAGGCAGGTGCCTCAGGAAGGTAGCCCACCCTCTCCCAGCAGGGAAATGTGCTTGGGGAGCAGAGAGAACCAGGATGGGGTCCGCAGAGTGGGAATTTCAGAAGGTCCTGGGTCCAACCTCCTCCTTTGCCAGGGGGACATGGCTCCTGGCCTGTGACACAGCAGCAGTGTCAGGCTGGACAGGGGGTAAGGTGACCAACCGTCCCAGATCTGCCTGGCTCATGGCTTCAGCAGGATCCACAGGAACCCACCCCACTAGCATGTGCAGCTCTTGTTCCCCAGGAGAAATGGCCTTGGGAAGAGCAGAGGTCGGCCAGCAGGCTCCCAGCACCTCAGGCTGTGCTGGTGACACGGCCTTGGCCATCCTGGGACTGGGTAAGAGTGGTTATTCTGAGGCGCATCTGAAACACACAAATTGCCCAAACAGAAGCTGTGGCTAAGCAACCAGAGACCCTTCCAAATGCTGGAATTGGCAATAGCCTTGCTTCAAAAGACTTCCTTTTGTCCAGCCCAGGCAGCCTCCCCAACACTGACCCTGGGAAGTAACCAGACTCAAAGCTCGCATCTGTCCTCAGATAAGTCCTGCTATAAAAGCCCCTCAGAGACTTCCAGAGCCATGGTGGCCCTGCCCACTGCCGGGTTTGGGGGCCAGCCTTGGGGACAGCGTGGTTTTCTGCTGCCGGCCACAATGTGTTCTCAGAGAGCCCTCGAAAGACCCTGGGGATCCTTAGCGGCCCTGGGAGTGTCCACTTCAAGAGAATCTTGGAGAACAAGCCCTTCTCTTTTGAAAGCTGTCTGAAGGGGAGCCCTGCCTGCCCGCAGAAAGCGTTTTAGAGTCTCCATTCATCCACCAGCTGCCCCCCTCCAACCCACGGAGCAGGCCTTTCACTTGTGAAGCTCTTCCTGGTGAAAAACAAGGTCCCTCCAGATTCCGACCGACTTGGAGACAGAAACTGGACACACACGTCTGTGGCCAGTGGAGTGGCCTGGCTGACTAGGGGCAGGCTGGCTGTGTCCCCACTGTGACGGTCCGTTTCAGCCAGCTGCAGCTGCGGCCTTGCAGGAACCTGGGCCAGCTGTTACAAATGTCCAAGGTGAGCCAGAAGTGAGGCTTTTCCTGCAAACTCTCATTTTAAAGTGTTGGTAGACCATTCAGAAAGACATGGAACGTGAATGCAAGCCCAGCAGCATATGTCAGGGCACTAGGCGTTTGCAAACCCCTAAGTTAGTACGCTCAGGTGTTTTAACAGCAGACTGGAAAGACACACCCACTGCCTGTCACCTGGGGAAGCCAGACCTTCATCCCACACGCTGCCACGTCCAGTCTTCAGAAATGAGAGCTCAAATCATCCTTTCAAGCAATGTCACGGATGCAAATGGTGTTTAGAGCAGAACTTTGGAAATGGTCATTTGAGCTCAAGTCCGGCAGGCAGGTAGGGGGTGACCATGCCCAGAAGAGGCTGCACTTTGAAGTAACAAGGCCAGTTTCCCGTGTGTGCTGCTGGGGTAGCTCCCAGGAGGCGCTGAGATCAAGGACAGCTGAGGATGGCGGTCTCTTCCCTTCCGTTCATGCACCAGCACCTTTGCTTTCCAGCCATTTTACACCCTAATGTGTAATAGATGGTTACTAACTCCTTCAGCCTTGAGTCTGAGCTTCCAGCCTTAGGGAAGTTGAGGAAGGTTCCAGGTTCTCTGTTCCCAGCTCTGCCTCCCCCTCAAGTTTGTCTGGCCTGCTTTTGCAGCCTTTCCCCTGGTCTGAGCATCTCAGACCAGTAGCTCCCAGCACACCTGACAGGGCCTCTGCATTTGCTGGGAAGTTAGGGGAGTCCCCAGCCCCAGCTCTGGCCCTGCTCTCTGCCCCCTCCTTGCTTAGGGCACTGATGAAAAATCAGATTCCTGGGCCCTCCTCCAGAGCAGTTGCCTCAAGCACCCAGGGGACCCTTATGCCCTACAAGTTTGGGGTCATGAGTCTGGTGGCTCCCGGTCACTGGGAGGCACGAGTGCCCGGCTCCTGCCTCACAAACACCTGGGAGTTGAGTAACAGTTCTGACATACAGTTGGCGTTCTCTAAAGTTCACCTTTTCAAGGTATATGATTAAGTGGTTTTTATTCTGAAGTTGATCAACCAGTATCCTGTGGAACGTTTAAAATAATACTGTCAGGGCTTCTCCCCTGGGACTCTGATGCCATGGGATCTAGGAGTCTGTGGTTTGTCTTTTTACGGAGCTCCCCGGAGGCTCTGCTGTGCAGCCAACTATGGGAACCTGGGTTTAGGGGACATTTTGCCATGTCTACAGATACTTCCGGTTGTCACAACTGGGGGATGCTACTGGCATGTAGTGGGTGGGGGCCAGGATGCTGGCCAGTATCCCAGAGCACATGACACCTCATGGCAGACAGTAATCCAGCTCCAAATATCCACAGTGCCCAGGCTGGAAACCCAGGACCTACAGGAACCTCAAGTCCTTTCCAGCCTGATGTGATCACCTGAGGCCTCCAGGCCAGCCCATGGCGACCCCCAGACACAGAAGTGCACCTCACCTCCAACAGATCAGCACTCAGTAGAGATGTTGTGTAGGGACACCTCTCAACGTGGAGCTTGAGGTCCTCCATCTTACAAAACTCTGAGTAGCAAGACTGGCTTATTTACAGGCCCCCCGCTGGCCTGCCCCGGGGTTGAGCCTCTGCCTCCAGGAGTGCAAATTCTCGATGGTGCGTGCACGGTCTCGTCGTCTCTCACACACACACCACCCAGTCATCTGCTCACTGGGACAACCCAGGCACACGCACCCCTACAGAGCTG